GGCCCTGTCCTGCAAAATTCCACCAGCCCGGGACCTTAGAACGTGACCAGTTATGCACGGCGTAAGGAGCTCAGCCAGGATTAGGGGGACTCTAAGTCCAAGCCGGTGTCCTTACACGAGGAAGAGGAGGAGGAGATTTGGATACAAAGAGCCAGAGAAGTAGCCGTGTGGAGACGGAGACAGAGACCGGAGCAAGGAACAGCAGGAGCTAGCAGGGCCTAAAAAGGCAGGAAGGGTCCTCCTAGGGCCTTCAGAGAAGCACGGCCTGGCCAAACCTTGGTCTCAGAGCCTGGGCCTACAGAGCTGTGGGAGAACAGATTCCTGCTGTTTTTAAGCACCCAGTTTGTGGTCATTTAGTACAGCGGCCCCAGGACACTTGCACATGCTGGAGACAGAGCCCAGCCAGTCACAGAGGAAGCTTAGCAGCAGCCCGGAGCCAGCCAGGAGGGGTGGGGTCTCTGTGTCCTCTAGGGCAGGCCTACCTCAGAGCCCATGGGAGCCAGGGGGGGCTGTGGGGGAAGGGCACCAGCACCCCTGTGGCCTTCACAGCCCTGGGACTCTGCCCGGGACCCAGCGTCATGCCTCCTAAGGGAACAAGCGCAGCCTCCCCGTGAGGAGGCTCTGGTTGGGAATGTGGGTCTGACTCTAGGCGGGTGTCTGGGGTGGGTCCCTTCCCCTCTGTGGCCTCAGTTTCCCCCTCTGTGAAATGGATGGCTTCGCAGGGTGAGCACAAGGCAACTTCTAGCTCAGAGAGACGACTGGGTGATTCTGGAGGAGGGACCGGGAGGAAGGGGAGGGTGACAAGCCATGTGACCTACAGACTGGCCAGCCAAGTGTCCCCAGAGACTCGAATCCAGGGCCAGGGCCTCGAGGCAGCAGCAGCCGGGTGAGTGGATCACCAGGGCCTTGACCCCAGCGGGAGCTCATCAGCTGAATGCGCTGGGCGGAGGAGGACCTGGGGGAGGAAGGGGGCTCCTGCGGGCCTATCCTGGTCCCACCCCTTCCTCTCTGGCTCTTTCCCTCTCTCCCCTTCCTGGCCGCCATGCCTTCTACCATGTTGCTTCTGCCTTGGATCTGGCTGACCATGGCTGGGAACCTCTAGAACCCTGAGCCAAAATAAATACGTCCTCCTCCAGGGGGACCCCCAGACCAGCCACCAAAGCCTCCTCTGACTGGCTAGCCACAGTCCCCCATGTCAGTCTAGGACCCCCCTAGGCCCATGGATGGGTCCCCCCAGCCTGGCTTGCTGGACTCCACCTGCTGATGTCTGGGATGTGTTGGGTCAAATAAAACATCGATTTCAGCATTTTCCATTCTCTGTGCTCGGGGGCCCTGGTGGAGTCAGAGTCCCCAGAACCCAGCACGCACGGGTGCCTCGCTCACCCCGAGAACACCGAGGCCCGGAGACAAGGTCACTTGTCCAAGGCAGGGACCGCGATGGACAAGGAGGGCCGCGAAGGCCCTGTGCAAACGCAGTCGGGGTGCTGGACCAAGCACGGGGCATCTGACGGCAGGATGTGCGCCCTGCGGGGTGACACTGTGAAGCGTCCAGGTTCAAGGACCTGGAAGTGACACCACGGTGCAGTAGGGACAGATGTCCTCAGGGGAGAGGGGGGCAGTGCCATGAGCTCAAGGACAGAGGCTGGAGCGAGCGACTGCCGAGGGCGAGGCCAGGCCACCCGGCTTCAGTTCCCGCTTGGCTCTGAGCTGTGCCACACTGGGCAAACCGCACTCCCTCCGGGGCTCTCGCCCAGAAGCCAGGACTGCTCGGGTTGTCCTGCAGCCAGATGAGTCAATGGCACAGAATGCATGGAGCAGGCCTTGCCCAGACTAAGCCCCGGGAGAATCAGCCGCTCATTCTTACTATCTGGCTGGGCCGCCATGTCTGGAATTTATCCCCAAGAAATAATACCGATAAACCTCCGAAAGCCGAGGCCTTCAGTGTGGTTTTATCTACAAAGGCAACAGGCTGGAAACAACCCCAGGACTAACTCTTGGCCAAACCCTGTAGGGAGAAGGATCAAACGCCCCTACAACAGAAGTCACGGTAGCAAGGCACAGCAGAACGCAAGGCACGGAGGTGAGAAGCCACATAGCAGCCTGGGTGTGGCCCGAGGACCCTTCCTAATTGTGAGCCGCTAAGGGAGACAGTCAGGCTCCAGCGGGCGGGGGCAGGGCTCCCGGGCACAGGACACAGGGTTCTGGGCTCAAGGGCGCCCCAGGCCAGCTCTTAGCAGCTCTAGGCCTGGCCCTGAAGGTGACCCTTTTAAAAGCCCCCAGCCCCGGAGCCTGGCTCCCATCTGGGCTCTTAGCCTGCAGGTGGGAGGTGGGGAGGGGCCAGAGTGGATTTCCCAGTGATCCCTGGGCTGTGCAGCATCTCCATCTGCCTCCCTGGTTGAGCCCAGCCCTGGGTTGCGAGCAGAGCAGTCCCAGGGACACCTGAGGGGCTGGTCCTTTTGTCAGAGATTCTTGACCCAACAGCCAAGCGAGGGGCACAAATCAAGTGCCCACGGACAGAAGAATGACAAAGAAAACACGGTCTGTCCATGCTATAGTTTTTGTGTGTGTGGGTATGTGTTTTGTTTTTTTGCATCTGGGCATTGAATCCAGAACTTTTGCACTGAGCTGCCTCCCTAGCCCCCTTTTTACAATTTTGAGACAGGGTCTTGCTAAATTGAGAAGGTGCCCAATCTGGGCTGGAACTTGTGATCCTCCTGCCTCAGCCTCCCAGAATGCTGGGATTGCAGGCGTGTGCTACCATGCCCGGCTTAGTTTTTATTTTAAATGTTCCAAGGCCCACATGTGAAAGGCTTGGTCCCAGCCTGCAGCGCTGCTGGGAGGTGGTGGGACCCTTAGGAGAGGGAGGAAGATGTCACAAGGGACGTACCCTCTCTCTCTCCATTTCCTGGCCACTCTGAGCTAAACCAGTGCCCCTGCCAAGTGCTCGTGCCACCACGGGCCCAAAGGGACAGGGCCGAGCGACCCTGCTGAAACCTCTGAGACGGTGACCCAACATAAACCTGCCCTCCCCTGCCTTGCTTACCCAGGCGTCCGTCTCGGCAATGCAAAGCAGGCCCAAGCTGTCAGGCACTGGAACACTGTTCACCATGAAAAGGGGCGCGGCACAGACAGGGGCCACACAGCTGGACCTGGAATGCCCCCGAGCTCCGTGCTGACGGCTCGGTCCCTGTGCCGTGCACACTGGAACTTCATCAGTGGATCGCCCTGCCGAAGGGTTCACAGCTGATGGTGCCTGGGGCGGCCCCGCTGCAGGGCCTTTGCCCCCAGGCCCTGGCTCTCTGTCCCCTTCCTGGCCACCATGAGGTAAGCAGCTCTGCCACTCTACCGGGACGCTCTGCCTCCACTCAGGCTGGGGCACAAGGCACAGACAGGACCGTGAGCCAAGAAACATTCCTCCTCGGAAAGCTGACTCATGCTGAAGGCTGGGAAACCTGACACCAAGCAGAAGACCCCAGATGCAAAAGGAGGAGCCACGTTCAAGAGACAGAGGGTGGGAGGGCGGTGGTCAGTGGGACAGGGGACAGCACGGTCCTGGGCGGGAGTCGACGTTTTCTGGAATACAAGGGTACGAACACGCCTCGTGCCACTGAACGGGATGCTGCAGGTGAGGTGGCAAATTCCACCGTGTGGCTGCTGTTTTATGTGACATCTATGTCTGTCTAGGCCCAAGGGCCACCTGCGTGCCCTGTACCGTGAAGACCCTCGGCCACGGCACTCAGGATTAGACCCCTACCCTTGGGTGCACTAAGATCCAGCCTGTGGCTCACACATCGCATTCCACGAGCATCTCCCGGGCCTCAGGGGGCTCGGCCTGGCGTCTCAGTGTCACCAGGGACCATGGCCTCTTCAGCACCTCAGGCCACTCTGCAAATAACACTGCCCTTCCCTCCAGGGACCACAGCTCCCTTTGCAGCTGCCTCGGTGGTGGAGGTGTCCATCAAGAGGTCCCGCCTTTCCTGCACTGAGGGGTGGGCCTAAAACCTCCACTGGACCAATCAGATGTTGTCCTGGAGCCAATCCCTCCTGCAGTGGGAACCTAGGGTGGGCTCTTCTTCCTGGCAGGGACCTTCCTGCTTTTTACTTCCTTTCTCCTGCAGCACCTCCCACTTCGGGGATATTCCGTCCTACCCATGTTGACCAGGATCAGTTCCCATAGTTTAAAACCCAAGCCCCCAAGCCTGCCCACAGCTCAAAGGCGTGGCCTGTGGGTCTGATGACAGCAGTAATGAACTGTACCAGCAGGGGGCACCGTGGTGGCTGGGTGGAGGGCCGCTTGCCAGGCACTCCTGCCCAACCTCCTGGGCCTGTCATGAGCCCATTTTGCTGACAGGGAAGCCCAGGGATGTGTTCCCGGTGTCCTGAGGGTGGCAAGGTGGTCTTGGCAGGTGGGACCGGGCCGAGGGGCACCTGTCGTGGCAGAGGTGGGGCTGGGGAGGTGAGGAGTCGCGTTCAGGGACTGCCCAGGCGCCCGTGAGCGACTGAGTGTGGCTCAGGGTGGGGTGCAGGCAGGTCCTGGGGTCGAGGACCCCGCTGGGACCCCTCGTCCAAGCCGGCCCTGAGCTTCAGGCTAGGGAGACACAGCTGGGACAGGAGATCTGGACTTCCTCTGCCAACCCTACCAGCACCCCTCAGCCATTTCACGTCTTCCTGGAGCTTTTGCCCTGCCGGCCCTTCCTGTCTCACAGCTCCTCTGGTCCAGTGAGGACGAGCCCCAGGGGTCAACACCCTAGAAGTGCCTGGCTCCTTCACTCTCCACCTGGTATTGTCCTTCTGAAGGGGAAACTGAGGCTCCAGGGCGCTGTGACTTTCCAGTGGCCTGACGGCCTGGAGGAGGGCTGAGTCAGAGCAGCATTTCCAGAGCAGCGCTTTGTACAGCACTCGGAGCAGGGCCTCCCTCTGTGGGGCAGCAACCCGGGCTTGCCCTCCACAGCCCCCCTGTGCCTGCCCAATCCCGAGAGTGGGAAGGGCCTCGGTCTTACCTTTTAGGCAGGACAGCTTAAGCCCCATGTCGGCGCCGTTTCCGGCCTGCAGAGAAAGGACAGCACTCAGCGAGGCGCGTGTGGCCAGCCCCCACCCCAGCCCTGCTCGGCACAACAGGAGCAGTGGCGGAGACCCGCCGTGAGGCTGCAGCAGCTACTGACTGCACCTGGGCTGAATTTGCCCCAAAATTCAGAAAACCTTCCAGGCGGGCGCCTCAAAGCTAAGTACACCTGAGCCTGGGACATGGGGCTGCACTCGGTGAACTTCAGAGCAAGGGTGTGGCCGAGGCTGACAGGCCGAACCAAAACCACCGAGTCTTTCTGGACAGAGCCCAGAGAACAGGGTCTCAGGGACAGAGGAGCCCTGGCCAGGCCGCCAGGGTGGGGCCTTCCTACTACAGCCACTTGGCCTGCTCTGTGAAGACTGGTGGAGGTCTAAGGAATGGAGCTATGAAGGGTGTGTGGACCCAGTTCCTGTCAATTAGAATCATCCCAAGCCACGCTCCACAATGCCCCTGCAACCACGTGTCCTCAGAACCCCAGTCACTGGTAAACAAGAGCCCTGTGTGCTCCTGTCCCCCATCCTCTGCCCTTCAAGGTAGGCTGTGCCCCATTCTACAGAGGTGGAGAGCAAGGCTCAGCTGCCCCAGGACGCTCAGCTTCCTGGCAGTTGTGGAGCCATAGCCACAGCCTGTGGAGCTCGAAAGGATTTATTTCCCTTTGAAGGGTCCCAGCACCTGAGAGGATGGATGGGTGACGAGCTGTTCCTTCGCATCTGGAGGCCACCGTGTGCCAGGCCCTGAGCTAGGCTGACAGGGCAACTAGGGGTACGGTGACCCCCAATGGGCCACCGGCTCTGCAGACACCCTGAGATGGTACAGGGCTGCGATGCCTGCCTGTCCCCCCCATTGCCGGGGGCCCTGCAAGTCTGCTGGCTGTGGCCTGGCAGGCGGCCCCTCAGGTCCACTCAGAAGCCCCTGGGGATCTGTGCACCATGATGGCCAGGAACGTGGGAGGCTGCAGTGGGTCAGTGTGCTGGGGAGTGGAGCCCAGAGAGCCGGACGGAGGGCAGGGGAGAAAAGCGGGGAGAAGAGGGAAGAGGCTGGGGCCTGCAGCAGATACAGCCGGCAGCGTGGAAGGGTGAGCCCGGCGGGCCCTGGGGCTGTCCCAGGGGCAGACGAAGGGCTGAGTGCCATGCTGGGCCTCCAGTGGAGTCAGGGATGGCAGCACCCTGGGCCTCCCGGGCCTGTGCAGAGCAGAGTCTTGGGCTTCCTTGGCCCTGCCGACCAAGACTCTGCACTCACCGCAGCTGGCCACAGAGCAAGGCCGTGGGAGCGCTCCGAACCTGTGCTTGCCCGGGTCCCGCCCTGCAGATGCGTGGTAACTGGTCTGGCGTGTGGCTCAGCACTCCAATTTTTCAAAGCTGGGTGGGGTTGCTAATGAACAGGATATGGACAGAGTCTCTCTTGGGTGGGGAGGATGGCTGGAGGGAGCGAACGCAAGGCTGGGCCTGCAGGACAGCCAGCACCTTTCCAGAGTCCTCGCCATGTGCCCAGCTCTGTGTGGAGCCCCTGCACCCGCAGCCCCTTCTCACAGCAGTCCTGTGGGGTTGCAACAGCTCCTACCCTTGTTTCCCAGGCCCGGAAACCAAGCCACAGAGATTCTGCACAAGGCCATGTGGGCTACAAGTGGTAGAACAGGGACTCGAACTCGGTACTCCAGACTCTGGAGCCCTTTTTCCACCACCAGGCAGACCTGGGTGTCAGGAGTCCCAAGAGGCGCAGGGCTTCAGGGCTGGGGGGCAGAGTGTGGCAGCCTCCTCTGCTCCCCACACTGGGCCCCCATCTGGCAGCCCTGGGGTTGGGTCCCTCCTCACACAGACCTGACTGGGACCACCCTTCAGAAGATGCTGCTCCCTCCTGCCTATCTGGGTGAGAGCTGATTTCAGGGCTGGTGCGTAGCTCAGTGGTACAGCACCCGCCTGCCATGCATGAGCTCCAGAGAAGAAAGTTGGTTCCAGCCCAGCCACAGATTTAATGCTCATCTCAGTCCAGCGCTGCAGGCCTCACAGGCGACCAGGTCTGGGCTGCACGGTTCAGCAGCCCAGGCAGGCGGGGCGGAGGAGGCGGGCCATGCAGTGGGACAAGAGTCTCCCCGGAGCCAGAAGGCAGAGTTCACTGCACACTTCTGTCTGTCTGAAAAGTAATCAAAACTGGCCAAAGAAGCACTGACCCTTGGGCATAGCGTGGGGTCAGCGTTAAGGTCCTGACTTTGATCATGGGCGTGTGTTTCATCTGGGATGGTCCTGCAGTCCTGAGGTCTTCAGAGACACCGTGATACGTCTGCAGTCAGGACCCAGTGTCTCTGCCATTTAACTCTCCAGCAGTTCAGCAAGGAAACAGTGGTTCACTCTTGAGTGTGGGGGGCACGTCAGGCTGCCTGTCCACCTCGGATGAAGGATGAGCAGAGGGCTTCGGATTCCTGCAACTTTTCTGAGTTGGAAACCACTTCAATAATTAACGGGTAGGCATGGCGGGGTGGGGGTACACGGCTGTAATCCTGCACTCAGGAGGCTGAGGTGGGAGGATCTTAAATTTGAGGCTGGCCTGAGTTACCTACTAGAGAGACTGTCTCAAAAAGAAAGGAAGGAAGGGGGCCGGGGATTTAGCTCAGTGGTTTCGCCGCCTGCTGTGCAAGCGCAAGGACCCGAGTTCAAGCGCAAGGACCCGAGTTCAATCCCCAGTACCAAAAAACAAAGAAAGGAAGGAAGGAAGACAGACAGAGGGGAAGGAAAGAGAGAGAGAGGAGGAAGACAAATGACACAGTGAGAAGCAGAGGTGGCGCTGGGCAGTGAGGCACAGCGTGCAGCCGCCAGCCTCGGGTGTGCCTCCCAGCACCACCTCTGCTCCTACCCCAGCCAAGTGGGGCTCTGTGTGTGCCAGGCCAGCACCGCCTCTCATTCCCAGGAACCCGGGGCAAGGAGAGGTGGAGGGCAGGTGGGACCAGGAGACCAGCTGGGCCCAGGATCCCGCACAGGGACACCAGAGTCCCCAGCCGCTGGGAGTTTTCGGACCAAGCCCCACCCCAGCCCGAGCTGTGCAGCTTCTGCCTTCCACATGGACAACTCCAAGGCAGGCGCCGGGGTGGCCTCAAGGTCTGGAGGAGCTGAGGGCTGAAGCAGGCACCCCTGTCCTGAGTCCTGACTTGGGGGTGCTGGGCTCTGTGCTGTCATGTCCACACAGGCACCCGGCCACCTCCTCCAGCACGGCCTGGGGTGCAGCCATGGGCATCATCATCCCCATCACCACCCTCGTCGTCGTTCCTGGGTGGGACAGCCACTGGGTGCTCCCATGAGGGGCCCTGCTGGTCCAGGGCACTCACTGCAGCCTGCTGTGCTGGGTGGATCACCGGAAGGTAGGAAGCCCCTCACTCCCTTGGGGACAGGGCTGGTCCCAGTGGGAACTCGGGCTGTGTCCACCCGGAGAGGCACCTGGGTGACAGGAGGCCGTGGGAGCGGAAGCCGAAGCCAGGCCTTCACCTGCACTGGAAGACATGGGCGTCTGTCACTTCATCCCTGCCTTGGACTCCCTGTCCCAAGCTGCTGTCTTCAGTGTTCCCGTCCTGGGCTGGTTCCTTATAAAAAGGAATCGAAGAGGTGGACAGCAACACCCCACTCTTCCAGTGGGGAGGGGCTCGCGCGGCATGGGTCCCTGGGACCAGCGAGGAGGCTGCGGTTTGATTTACGCATGGTGCCCTGGGTTTGCCACCTTTGTAACTGGAAAACAGAGTGGGAGGGTACCCCAGGGCCACCAGCACTGCTGCCAGAGTTTGCTAGACGTGAAAACCTTCCTTCCACACAGACTTGGCTTGGTTTAAGCTCCCCCAGAATGTGACTGTTAATTATTGCACAACAGTTTGAGGCTGAACAAGTTCTTTCTTGCACCTGGGCATAAAAGTCTTCCTATCAGCCAGGGATTTAGCTGAGTGGTTCCAGCACCTGCCTCACAAGCGCAAGGTCACGAGTTCGATCCTCGGCACAAAAAAAAAAAAAAAAAGTCTCCCTATTGCCAAATGGTCACAGGATAACAGGGTAACTCGGCAAGTCCTTGTTTAAAAAAATTAAATAAATAAACAAATGAAGGGCTTGGGTTCAGTCCGCAGTGCCGCGCACACACACACAACTGACTTCCTCCTGCAGGTGTCCACGGCCTTCTGCGCTGTACACTGCAGTGTCTCTAACACCACGAGTGCCTCTGGAGAAGCGACACCATCCAAGGGGCAATGAGTATTCGCCATGCAGCCTGGAGGTCAGAGGCTGCGACTCACCAGCCCACAGCGTGGCTGCAAGAGGCTCACCCTCCGCAGGCTTTCAGGGCAATCGGAAGAGTAAAACAACGCAGTAAAAAGTCACTAAGATGTGGCACAGGGCCCGGACACGGGCCCCGCGGTGGAGGCTATGCTGTTACAATTCTGGCCATAGCATTTGCCGCCTCCCTGGCTTGCTTCTTGGGTAGGTGGCGGAGGCCAGGCTCTTCCTGGAGGCATCACAGAAACCCAGAGCCGGAGATGGAGGGAGTGGCACTACCAGGTCACATAGGAGTCCCAGTTGTCTCGAGGGACGAGCGTACTTCAGCCGTTCACTGCCAATGCACAGGTACACTGGGCCGGGAGTCCTTGTTTCCATTTGCTGGGTCTGGACACCTAGTGAGGTCACCTGAGCTCATGGGGGCTGTCCCTGAGGGCTGGATGCCCAGGAGGGAAAGGCAGTGAGTGGCCGTCACCCTGGAAGCCTGGCTTCACCTCCCAAGTGAAATCTGCGCAGCCCCGAGATCCTGAGTCCCCTCCTTCACAAGGACCTCTTTTAGGACGGGACCAGGCTGGGCCGGGCCGGGCGGGGTGGGCAGTGCTGAGGAACGTGAGGGTTTGGCCAGGTGGGTGGAGGGGGAGGGAGAAGGTGGAGCCCGGCTGGCAGGCTGGGCAGGGTCTCCTCCCGGACCTGGCTCCTCTCTGGGACAGGCACTTCCCCTTGCCACAGAACAATGCAGTCCCAGCCACAGGGACACAGGCGGTACCGGGTCCAGGCCCATGGCTGCACGGGGAGCACTCCTCCCACAGCGTCAGCCCCAGCCCTAGCCTTGCCGGAGCCTCTCACTGCAGGAAGCAGGGCCAGCAAGTCCCCCAAAACCACCCCCAAGGGGCTTGGCCTCCCCAGTTCGGCCTCCCGGCCACTGTGGGAGACCCCACCCTCAGCACTGCACACCTTACCCATGGTACCCCATGGGCATAGGAGAAAAGCGCCCTCATGCCTCATCTGCCTGGCAGCAGCCAAGTCGGGACAGGCATAGAGGACAGGCTACTCGAGTCAGGTTCATGGTGGCCACCAGGAGACCACGGCTGGGAGCAGCAGTGGTGCTGGGGGCCAGGGTGGGAGGTGCTTCTTGGCCCAGGGCACATGGGTAACGTGCGTATGCCATGCGCACAACACCCCTGCGCGATGATGACGCCCTGTGGTGTGTGTGCGCTTGTGTGTGTCCCTGTGCTCGTGTGCCAGTGCAAGGTGCGGGGATGGAACCCCAGGCCTGTGCACGCCCTCAAGTCTGTCTAACCGTGGGCTCAGCCCGGGGTGGCGTCCCCTGCCGGCTGGGGAATCAGAATCAGGCCTGGCCTGGACAACACCCATATGGTTGTGGGTCAGTCGCTTTACCTGCACAGGTCTGTTTCCGGCCTCGCAAATGGGAACAAGAATAGTGGGAGGTCAGGCACAGGGTTGGGGTTGGTGAGTGCTGCACATCGCTGGCCTCACCGAGTCGCAGAGGACACGGTCCCACTCACCACCCCAAAGTGGCCCACACCTTCACCCAGGGGTATCCGCCCTGCTGGGTGCGTCTACCAGTAGATTAGTACTTTTAGCCTCCTTGGGGCTGGTGCAGGGATTGCAGCCTGTCTAGTCTAGAGGACCGGCACCCTGGGGTGGGGATGCACAAGACGGGGGTGTGTTCTGGTCAGGTCAGGGGCCTGGACAGGTAAGGGGTGCTTTCTGTGGTCAGCGCAGCCCAGGACAGGGGCGTCCTAGAACTTGGGGCGCCATGCAGGAGCCACAGCCTGCCACCAGGGTGAGCCTCCCTGAGCCTCGGTTTCCCCGTCTGTAAAGTGGGGCTCGTGCTCAGCCTGCACCAGCCTGGAAGGGCCTTCTGCCCGGCCCTCCAGCCTCTCCCGAACTTCTCCCTCGGCTCCGTCAAGGCCTGGCCGCAGAGCCCCGCCCCCGGGGAGCCGCGGGTCCCCCTCCTTCCCGGCGCCTCCCCAGCCGCGCCCGAGAGGCCGCCGCCGGCGCTCGCCCTGCCCTCGCGGTGGGACCCTGCTCGCCGGCCGGAGCGCGGGCCCGAGCGCGGCTCAGGAACTGCACCGCGGGACCTCGCGGCGGGGAAATGGCTCCGCCCGCGGCTTCCGCCCCCTCCCCCGCCAGCCCCGGGCGGGCGCCCGAGAGGGCGCGGAGTCAGGTGGCCCGGGCCAGGCGCGGGGACACACCCCACCGTCCCGGCCGTCCCCGGCGAGGCTGCGGGAAGTTGGGGGACGTCGGGCCCGCCCCGCCCCGCCCCGGGCCCCCGCCCTCCCCGGCCGCGCCCCTCCGCCGGCGGGCTGCGGCTCC